ACACTACAAGATATGGCTGCCAACCGATGTCAGTGGCGTTCTTGTTGTCAGTTTCTATCCAGGTTGCCTGAGTGAATGTCTGGAGGTGTAGGCACCTCGGAATGATTGTGTTAAGATAGCAATAAGCCCCTCCCCCATCCACCTTTATTCTTTTCTTTACAGTAAGGCTTTCAAATAAGTCATGGATGTACGGCAGTGAAGCATCGGTGTTGAACACTGATGTCATGCTGTCGATGATGATGATGTCACCATTCGATGGAATCAGTTCAGTTTATATAGTTCTTAGAGAGAAGCTACTAACTCCAACGTGATCACTTGCTTATAGATTGGTTGGAACGTGTTTGATATTTCGAGCTATGTCATGCTGTCGATGATGATGATGTCACCATTCGATGGAACATCATCAGTTTATATAGTTCTTAGAGAGAAGCTACTAACTCCAACGTGATCACTTGCTTATAGATTGGTTGGAACGTGTTTGATCGACCATTTCGAGCTTTAGGATGTGTTTTCGATTGGTTAGCTTGTATCTGGTTATCTCATTGGGTATCCTTCTTTCAGCAGTCCTGTTCCATCATCCAAATTGGTTCATTTCGCCTTTTGGGCTTCTGGATTACTGATTCATCTTCAACTTGGATGCACGTTCCAGTGGTCTTGATTTTATCCAACGTTCGGCGATCCCTTAGTGGCTATTATTTGTTTCTTTTCTAGCCGCTTTGGGCTTGCGTGCTGGGAGGTTCTTTATTCCTGAGAAGTCGATGTCCTCAGCTGAGTACCAAGCCTCCATAAATTCACGTTCCTTCTGTTCATGCTTAGGCTGGTATGTAGACACTAGATCAGTCGAATTCACGTCCGTCCTAGACAGAATCAAGACCACTGGAATTCACACTCAAGCCGAAGATGAATCAGCAAGTCAGAGGGCCGAAACGGGTAACGCATGAAAGTTGCGTCAAACAAAAAGGTACCTGTGAATGTGTCAACATCCACAACGCGGCAGAAATGGACCAACCGAATCGAAAGAAAGCTACTAAAAATAGGAGTTCGACTGGCCAAGTAATTGATAGCAGGAACAAGATACCAAAGGCGAGATGGACCAGCGGGAAGGAAGGATAGGAACTGTTGAGGAAAGGTGCTCAACGTAGCAACCAAATGCAAGATAATCAGACCACAACACAATGCAGATCCTGAAAATACCGGTCAAATTACGTGATAGACAATCTCTAAACAATCACGTTGCAGTTAATTACGCTTTAGGGACTATAGGAAAGCAAGTAGAAATGTAGGAATTACCTCCCCAGCCACGCACTGACGATTTCTCCTCACATAATGACGAAATCTTTGCGAGCCAGTTGCCAAGCTCGACCACAAGATCAAATGCCACCCGACTGACAGCCAATAAATTCAACCCAGCTGCCAATATTTAGACATATTGCCAGTTGGCAGGTTCGGTTAAACTGACCGCGTATGACGAAACCATCTGTGTCAATTACCCCTTTAGTGGTATTTCTGAGTGTACCGTTCCTTGTTACTCATCCTTCACGTATGTTGGGAGGAGTTGAAGCGACAAGCTAGTTTGCTGAACTGATGAAAACATATATGGTAACTGGGAACGTCAAAAATTGAAGAAAATCTATATAACTTCAACGTGGAGTGACTTGGTGGTGCTGAATACCCTGGGACCATCAAGCAAGCTTTGGATGAAAGGGAGGAAATATTGGCTACCTCGTTCTGGAATAGGTCAACTAAGAACACGGGTTTTACGGAACCGAGCAGGCGACCACAAATACATCACGATTAAACGCTGCTGCCTGTCACCAGCTAAACCTGTTCAGTTTCACCAGAGTGTATTTAATCACGGGTGAATTCGAAAGGCGTTCTGCAATGAGGCATACAGTGTATGTGTGTTTATTAGTTCGCGTTGAAATACAACGGATCAGGCAACTTAATGCTTTTAAAGATAGTCAACAACAATACCGGACGAAAAGCAAAAAATTAACTCACTTCAGACGGGGTATTGCTGGAGACTGAAGTGTTAATAAATTGTGCAGGAGTGAGTGGATGTGATCTCGGACGGCGGCAAAACACCTTGTAGTATTGGGGCCTATGTAGTAAACGGGTAGGAGCGGGCGTTTCTGGCACCGTGGATTCAGATAGGCAACTGGAGGTAAGAGGTGCTGATGTTGTTACCAAAGGTTTGGAGCACGGTGGTAACCTGACTCGGATTAGAAGAGAGCAATCATCAATCCGGTCCACGATTTTGTTCACTGGGCCATTGGTATTCGAACCAGAGAACATGGAGGACAGATAGGAAGACAGGAGGCTTGTACGCTGTCAACAGTGGGACGCTGTAGAGGAATACAAACGGAGAGTAAGATATTAATCATACCATCCACTCGAACAGAACAACATCATGATGACTACCAGACACCAACATAGTATACAGCCATGTGAAAAATATCGGTCCCAAACATTTTCCCATTGTTGAAAATTTATCGGGAGGTAAATGATCGGTCCCAAACATATTCCCATTGATTGAAAATTATCGGGAGGTTAAATGGAGGACGACAAGCTTTTCAGACGCGGTATCTTAACGATCCGATTCAGAAGCTCACACGAGCAGCCTGAAGAGAGCAGATTCATTTTAAAAACCGTAATCGGACAAATTATTCGACACTCTGGTCCAGTGGGCCAGCGATGTCCAATTTATGTGACTGAATCCTAAAGAACATGTCGTACTTCCCTAACAACCCTGTACTAATGAACACCACACATCCCGGAAACGCTTGTCCTATGGAGGTTTGCTATGCCTCAGCCGTCCACCCGCTGTCAGCCCCACTGGAATACATGAGCCTCAGGTAAACAATTTACAGCATGTGCTTTTAGGGGGGCCGCTGAAACACGCAAGTCCGGTCCAACATTCAAAGATACGCAGAGGTTCACATTCACATCACTCCCGTTTGAACAGTCGTCTTCGAGTCCAGTGCTTCCCCCCTCACCCTTTGATGTGGATTCACCAGAATAATTGCGCCATGACAGGAGGACGACTGTTCAAACGAGAGTGATGGGAATGTGAACAATACACATCCCGCAAACACCACAACATACGCATAAGTGACAATAAAATGGTTGATGGATGCAGTGCTTATGATAGGAAATAGCATAAGCCATACTCTTCCCGGATAGTTACTGATACGGCGTTGAGAGGTTGAACGAAATGTCTCAATGTAATTTATCTTTACGGTTCAGACTGAAGAGAAAACGATGAAACATAACATACCATCAATACCCTCAGGTTGCTGGCTTGCTTAAACCGATGACGGGTGCTCCTGACCCATCATCACTTTGGATCTGCTCAGCTACTTCAGAGGGTGTGGTCACACTTCAGATGTAATAAATCTACACAATATCTATCTAAATTTGGAACATCAGATGAGGTGCTGAAGGTAGAACGGGATGGAAGAAAACAGTACTTGGAATGGAATATAGTAACGAAGCGAAAACCTAAAGAAACATGTTTCTGCAACAACAGAAGTATGACACTCAGTGTGTAAAAAACCGTTAAGCTGTAACACCCTCCTGGTGTCTAGCTGCCATGCCATCCCAGCACAAGAGCTGGGTTACTGCCAGATTGCCCAAGCCCAGACAGGGTAAGTCGAGAGGTAGAGGTCGGGTTCGAACCACGGACCTTTTTGTCAATAAATTCGGGCTCTAACCATTTGAGCCATCTAGCTCCCTAGTGTATTCTAATCAACAGTCTCGCTTCACTGAGGCTCACAATTGCAAAGGACGGCAACAAACCACCCTTCACCCTAGTGGGCAAATAAGCCAGTCGCGCATCATACGTTCAGAATAGAGGACAAAGAAGAAGGCGATTAGTCGAGTATATTGATTTATTTCAGGAAAAAGCAACCCGATGAAAGAACACTGGTTAGAAGGTCGGTCGAACAGAAAATGCTAGAAGGGAAATGCAAAATACAGGAAATAATCAGCGTAGGACAAGAGATACGACATGCAGTGACAACTGCGAATACCAATATGAATAGTCCCCAACTTGGTTGGCTGGCGGTAAATGGGGTAAATTTTCAAGCGACAGGTGGCCGAAGAACAACTGAGTTGCCACAATGGATCCGAATTCGGTTAGATTTAAGCCCAATGGGGATACTGAACCGGGATAAATCTGAAAAGATGTGAACATGAAAAACAGAAGTTGGGGCAAGGTGGAGCAGCTAATTGAATTTGACTACACTACCCAAATCGTTGGACGATTTGCCATAGAACCCGTATGAAACTCTCAATAAACTACCGGCACATGAACTGGCCTTCCTGATGAGAGCTGACATGTGACTGTGGTGGAAATTACATAGATAGAACAAAGGACAATCCACCATCTAACTAAGGTGGTGCATATTTTTACACCTGAAAAAGCTTCCCAGACTAGCATACTAGCGAAACGACCGTTGGAAGTGGGAAACCTCTCGACGATTCATAACGAACTGACATTCCCCGGATAAAAAAGTAACTACTCCGGTCGCTCCCATTATGTACCGTCTTACTTTTCCACCATAAGCTTTGCTAGGACTGTTCTGCTCAATCCATCGAAACACAGAATCAGGTTAATCCACGCGGAGCTCAGACAGTCATTCTGCACTTATGCGATAAAGTGAACTTAGTATGAACGCCTGACGCGCGCATTTTCTGTGGAAAAACCTGTGTATTCAACATATATAGTATGTATATATAAGTATGTATATATGTTGCTATTATCCGTACAGGCTGATGGTACCGATTCAGCCTTTGATATGAGTCGGATAGGTAAAAACCTACCAAATGAGCCAAGAGTTGTTCGGAAGTTGGCAAAGCGTTTGAATCCCGCAATCGCTGTAAGGTGTGCCTCAGTCTGCTCAAATCCGAGCCCATCAGGTCAGTGACTGTGTTACAGTGATTGCCAGGGGTTGATGGTGAGTAACGACCGAATGGGAACCGAGGTGGCATGTAAGTGTGATAGAAAATATAGCTTCGGCAGTCAGTAGATACTGGAGGTTGAAGGGCTTTGAAGTATCGGACCAGCCCACCTTGATGTAGCGTACCGAACAGAAGCAACAAAGCGGTCTGTTGAATGAACCAGAAAAACGTGAAAAATGTGCCCCACTTTGACCTCCAAAGATAGAACAAGTTGCCCTTCCTTGGTGAAGCTTCTAACCGGTGGCCAGCCAGAATGGCAACAAATGGTATCAGTGGCATCAAAAATCGTGCTTCCTGATGAGGCACGGTGGATAAAATGGCTAGTGGGACGATGACACATAGCCAAAACAAACAGTGCACAGAGAACAATTGCTTCGGGGGACACAGGGCCAGTAGAACCACAACAGGACCAATAATAAGGGGTAAATTAACCAACAAATGAAGGTATCGTGGATGGAGTCCGTGTTCGGCCAGATGAATCGAGTTAGAATTGTACGCAAAAAAACGACAAGGCACACACACGAGATCCGGTAGAGACCAATTAGAGTACAACTGAGAGAAGGATATATTCTTGTAGTATGCAGTGTCAACGAGTAGACAAAGATGCAGACTTAGTGCAGCAACCAGGACAGCAAACGAACAGGAAAGCAATGAAATCACACGGGATTTTCTCCAAAGAGCAGCTATTTCTGCAACACCCAAAGGTAAAATGAATAGCGGGTAGGTAAAACGTATGAAAATAGCCCAAATAGAAAAAGCAGCTTGTAAACACATCAATATACAAATAAATATGGCATCACAGTTGTATGAAGTCGGAGCCATGTATTGGGCTTTGCGTATGATCACAAGAGAAAACAAACCGAAAGCGGCTGCAGCCGCAGTTTCCCAAGCATTCGCGATTGTTCTTCCGGCAAATAGGAGACCACCGAATGTGCAAGAAGCATAGATGAGCAGAGCGATCGGTGGCGAGGCAGAAAGAAAACAACGGCGCTTTCGTCCATAAGGACTGCGTAAATGGGCACTCCCAAAAAGTACAAATAGGTCGACCCAGAGAGATCCTACCGCGGTCATGAAACGAACTGGAAATAGAATCCGAGTGAGTAAGTCCGAACCTCCGTGTGATACGTGCGTGAGGTTCACGGCTGTTAGATCAAGATGAAAGGTGCAAAAAGTTCAACATGAACAGGTGACCCTACATAAGGATGAAATAGAACTACGTGGAAAAAACTGTCAACAAAATCTGTTCGAAAAATAACCACAAACTTGGTGTTCCGTGGTTAACTCAAACATACAGGTGAACAAAGAACGAGGTTCCGTATTGGATTTAACCTACAGGATATAACCCAAACTTCCGGTGCGCTAACCAGTGTACATGGTGGATGACGATCGGTGGTGCCTTTGGAAAAACGTCCGAACTCAATGTGTGGGCAGAGGAACTAGGTACCTGGAACAACGACGCTTTCGCAACCTCTGAAGATATAATCATACCCATGTGAGCATATCCACTGAGAGTGGAAGTTAGGGTACCTGACAGAACCGTAAGGAAACTGATGTTAAGCAATCTGGTCTGAGTGCGCATCAGCTATCATTTAAATCAGTGAAAAAAACTGAGCACTGTTGGTGAGCATCAGCATTCAGTCCCAACATTTCCAGGGATGACCTTTCATCATCATCACTGTCAGTTGTAATAACCACGTACTCGTCGTACAGTGGTTGTAGCTGCCGCAGTTTCGTTCACCGATGATTTGGGGAGAGGGGTAGGTAGCTGCACATTGCAGGCGGGAGCTGATAAATTGGTGCATAAATCCAGCACTGTCAGTGGGCTGTCAAGTGGGTGGGGGTTGGAAAAGGAGCTATGCATTGAAGGCAATAGCTTGGATGCACGACCGCCATTGAGGGCGCGACTGGGCCATGTCTAACATTATCTCTAGAATGTCTCCAGAATCTTCATAGCGTTTGTCTGCTATGTTTCCATAACATCCTTAAAGAGCTCCTAGCTCAATCACCTTTAAAATGATAGTGCCTCTTTGACATGATTTAACTACAAGTATAAGGCAGAACCGAACTAACTGGTGTGTCAAATCATCTGCAACTGTCTGGATATATAAGTTCTAGAAACGATAAAGCTCGTCGGAGACATGGGCCCTGATAACTGAATCTCATTTGGAACCTAGAAGGTTTGACCAGTACTTGGGTTCGCAAAAATCTTGTGAGTGGGTAGTGTATAGGTGAAACAAATGCAGCTCCGGAATATATATATATATATATATATATATATATCAACTATGCCTCGATCATAGACTTCCCTCGTGAAGTTTACAGCATGAAAAGATGAGGACCACAGAGCATCCCAAGGGATTAGCCCTGTCATGACAAACCATACACTCGTGCTGGTATCGGAAAAGTCATTCGATGAAATTGAGATCAAGAATGTGTTCTTGTGCAGCTATCAGTAACCCTCACTGGGGACAACGTGATGGCAAATGCATGGTAAGAAGAAAAAACTAGTTCCGCTAGTACCTCCGTCCAAAAAACGTTTGTACAGCCAAACGGGTAGATGAGCCATAGGTCCAATGCCAGCAATTGATCGCAAGGGTCCACTACCATGAGGAAGAAACTCCCAGGAACGGAATACTTCTAGTCCGTAAACATCACCGGCAGAAATCTCTAAGCTCTGAAAAAATTCATCAGGATGTATGTAGCCCGGTTGAACACGCCAGACAAGGACGAAGCGCAGTAGAAGGAGGAAGAAATACAACGCCCATCCAGTACCACGCAGGAAAGTTGTAATCTGTTTCATAGTGTGGAAAGAATAGTCTGCAAACGGAAACGGAGGATGAAACGCTGGGAGAGGAAATGAAGCAAAATGACATTGGGAAAATAAAAAAAAGTCCTGATAAGGGTGATGGTTTATTAGCATACTAAAGCATAGGTACAATAGAAAGTTTACAGGTTCACATAGACGCTTTAGCAGTTGATTCAACTTTAAAATCACCGATTCCGAGGTTCTGATCCGTTACTTTGATTGAACCGTTCGGATCATGCCCTTCAACGTTACCCGTTGCCTTTTTGACGGGATCTGTAAAAGAGTGTATAGGCTCTGTCTTGGGTGATACTAGAGACTCAAGTATTTGAACGAGAGGTCCGGCTGTTGGGTGAGGGAAAACCCGCCAAGGTATTGAGTCACTAGGTTTGGAATGAACTGACCTGAAACAAAGGAATACATGCGGGCCTATATGAATTGTTGTACAGCGCGTCATAAAAAAAAGCTGAAAGCCAGGTGAGTCTCTCGAAAGAACCAAATTGGTTTGCGAATGAGTGTATATTCGCTAATTTCGGGCAATTTGGTTTCAGGTAGAACATAAGGTTGACGGAAACCCGGGGACTGCGCCTACCTGATGAGCCCCAAGAAGGGCGAAACCGGTCGTGGGCTGTCGATGGATTTTCAGCAACCTTATGAGTAGTAAATTACAAAGCCGAAAGCCATTCACACTACGTCCCTTTATATCCCACTTGTAAACCTTACGAGCCTGCAACTAGTCCGAATACGTGCGATAATCTCCATGATTATCTGGGACACGACGAACCAATCTATGTTAAAAGATCGGCTGTCCTCAAGCAATGCCTACCAGCTGTGTAGAAAAAAGACCATCTACATGCGTTGATAAAAATTACGGTTTTTAATCCCCAACAACAAAGCAAGTTGTTGCATGCTTTCGGTACGAGATGGCTCAGTGGTTAGAGCGCGAACTTATTGACCAAAAGGTCCGTGGTTCGAACCCGACCTCTGCCTCTCGACTTACCCTGTCTAGATTTGGGCAACCTGGAAGTATCTCAACCCTCAAGCTTCCTTCTGGGGGGCAAGGTACCCATGTATTGAAAAGGTGCTATAGCCAAACGATTTTTTCGGTACGCAGGCGCTATAAACTGTGTACATCTTCTGATACCTAAAGTAGAAATCGATGCGTTCACGACGAGGTCAAATAAAGGTTCATCCGAGCATCAGCTGATTTGAGACTGAACTGGCCGTATCCCTATCGAGACAACCTTTTAGCAAAGGAGTGCCGCACAAACCGCAAGACAAAAGCTGAAACACTACCAAGTTGTTTAAGCTTAAAAGTATGGGCGGACTTGAACAACAGATCTTTTGGAAAAAGGGCGAACTCAGCGCTTGTACGGGAAAAAAATGGTATAAGTGTCCAGTTAGCTTAAGCTTACTTCTAAACCACGAAAGAATAAGCCTTTTCATCACAGGGAACCCCTGTTGAAACAAGTTGAGATTTTCCGTTCCTGGTTCTGCCTAGAAATGAGGCACACCAAGAACGGTCCGACAGACTAAACCAGGATGTGCAAAATATTATCCAAACGGAAACAACTAAAATGTAAAAAGGATTTCCACTTTTCAACATTTCCAGTTTTTTTTAAGTCTGTTCCGCAGAATTAAGTTAAAGAGGGCGGCAGTGAGACAACGAAAGCATTTTCGAAAACACCCAAACAACTTTGTTTTACTTTCAGTCGAAAACGTGCGAGAAGCATAGCTAGTGACTACAGCACAGTTGTGCTGAAGCTACTAAGTGGTACGGAATTGTCGATCTTCCATCCACTTTAAGTAGACCATCTTTGTACACGGAAAAAAGATCGCGAGATTTTAGCTGACATCGCCTTTGCTATGGAGTTTTCAAAAAAGACAATGGGATAAAATGACTGAAATGGAGGAGATCCATCCTTAGAACGATGGTATACTTGCCAGCTGTACCACAATTTCGGTGCCTAGCTGCCTGCCACCCGAAGGTTGCACGAGGGCTGAGATACTGCCAGTTTGTTCAATCCTAGACAGAGGAAGTCGAGAGGCAAAGGTCGGGTTTGAACCACGGACCTTTTGGTCAGTAAATTTGTGCTCTAACCACTGAGCCATCTCGCCCGCGTGGTATACTCCAAGGAAAGTGCCAACGACGCAACCAAACTGATACCGATTTACTTGAACACCATGTACAACAGAATGCTTTCAGCCGAGATCAATCTCGGTAGGTGCTATGATGACTCTTCAATTACGTTGTTATCTTCCAGGACTGTGTTGCTCTACCCGGGACTCAGATGCACACACTCTAAATGATGCGCTGTGAAAGGGAGTCATAAGCTGTGAATGCTGTTTTCAAAAGAGCTATTGATGAGCAGAACATTACTATGCAGAAAATAGACCCATTTACCTCAAAAGAAGCGTAGGCACGAAAATATCGGAAGACGGGACAGTTGAGGAGACAACTGAGTGGAACCTCTTTGCGATCGCATCGAGAACCACGTCAGCTGGAGCATGAATATTCAGATTTGCCCGTTTTGAAAGCTTAGTTTTCTGTAAGTTGATAATAACCAGCTTGGACTGGGGTGAAGAAAGATTATTTTCAGGATCACGTTTGCGGATTTTGTTGCAGGCTGACGTGAAGGTAGAAGAGTGACGAGGAAGCAATGGTAGGGATGCTGCTGGATACATTTGCAAAGATGTTCCAATACAAATATGTAGATCAGCTCGACTGCGGGGGTCAAGAGTCATTGTGAGAACCAATAAAAACGGAGGTACTTGGAATGTTCAATAGCAAGGTGGTAGTCCACTTCAGGTAGGTCGCTCTCCCAGTCCAGTATCGTATCGCACAGCCTTCCCCTAGGAAAATTGCATTTACCACTTGTGAGAAGCTTACCTACATCCCCGACCAGAAGGCTTAGTGTAGGTACAAAACACATCAGTCCGACGTAGACCCATAGTGGTTGACGGAGTACTTCTCGCAAAAAAACTACCACAGGTGTCACACACTTCAAGAAACATGTCACCATGCAAGATGGATAGACGGTTCCGAGGGAATCCGGAACGGAAGTGTAATCCATCAATATTCTGCGTGATAAGATAGTGGATCAGATCTGACAAGTCATATTCAATGTGAATTTGCACTTACTTTTCCGTTCGAGTTCTACAAGAATACAGTGAGCTAAAGAAGGCGTAGCCTTCTCGAAGGATACTGACACCGTGGGTTTCTCTCCTAGTTTCTCTAGGGTCCAAACCCCTGTCAATTAGAGCTGTCAACAAACAATGGTAATTACCTTTAGGACCTCGAAAATCAGGAATTCCAACCGATGTACTGATGCCGGCTCCCGTATGGACTACGGTATAAGCCGACTCGACCATAAGCCTATAGAGTTCATCGATTTTTGATTCCAGGGTAGTAGTATCATCGAAAAACTCTGGCAAACCACAAACACCTTTGTTTGCATACTCGGAAAGACCACTGGCATAGTCAACGGACATTGTGGTTCACGCAAGTTGATGAGATTGACACAGGAATTAGCGTACTTCCATTCAGAAATAAACTAAACAGAAAACGTAAAAAGAGCCCTGATGAATTTAGCCATAGAGTAAGCCGTTCCGTTGAACAAACCACAATAGTTGATTCACAAACCGCGTAGGCCACCTGACTCCGACCAAAACAACCTAGTAATCTACGACCCATAAAACAGGTTCCGGAAATGTAAAATGACTGCCCATTGGACATGTCAAACAAACAACAGTAGCTTGAAAATAAGTAAAACGGAGGTCTTGATAGCCATCAAGATGAAAGATATCATCGACGCCAAGTGAAAGGACAGTTTTAGCAGAAGGGTTAAAAATGCTGCTGCGTTGATGAGATAGTTGTTTCTTACGCTCTGGCTGAATCAGCCAGCTGATGGATGAACCACTGACAAACAACAGCCCCTTACCCTAATAAGCTACTCCGAAGGGTGACAACCTTTCAGTTAAAACCAGCCCCGGACGGTTTCATGAGATGTAGCACTGACTGAAAGTATTAACTTTTTGAAGACTGTCCCTCAACTACAAGCAAAGATCATCCATTACTTCCCCATGGTAAGAACTAATCACTCAACAAGCACCACCGGTCAAGTTCGTGCATATTGTCATCACCACTGCAGCACCAAAGAAGAACACTGATACTTCGCTGCCATACAAACATGTCGATTCAATTTAGTAAGGTCTTATAGTGGAAAGAAAATAGGTGAAGAACTGCGACCTAGAGCTAGCCTAAAACAAACATCTGAGGTGCGTACGCCTCCAATAGTCAGAGAGTCTGTATAGACTGACAACATGAACGTAATTGACATCGGTTAGCCCGCATGTCATTTAATGTCTCCAGCCAAGCGCACGGAAGGTCACATGGATTCCATCCAGGAAGGCGAGCAGCACCATAGGCGCCTAAGATTTTCCTAACATCCAACAATAAGAGCACAAGCCTTACACGGCTAGTGGTTTCACTAATAGTGCGACGTCGGCAATGAAAGAGACAACTCTGAAGGCACTAGCCAGGGTTTTGACAAGCCAGAGGGTGCACTGACCACAGTTCACATTACGTGGTGCTTGAGTATACCGTCAACTAACTGCGACCAATTCAACTGTGTGACCACAGTTCACATTACGTGGTGCTTGAGTATACCGTCAACTAACTGCGACCAACTTCAACTGTGGATAACTGTGGATAACTAACTAACGGTCGTGTAAGATCTGATTACTTTCAGCTGTGATCGCGTCATGCCAGTGAAGCCAATCTATGACGAGGAGCCAAAAAGCACCATACGGTCGTTCTATCCTCAATGAGAATCATCTGCGGTGCACAGGTCACAAAACTCCAAAGAGATCCGAACCCCTAATCTCCCAGCTAGTTGTTTGGACAATTAACCGTTCGGTCGAGAGCGGCTGATTATAAGTGCAATAAACTCCAACTTAGACAGGATATAAGGCCACTCATCCATCAATCATGGAAACAACATACATACAGTCACATACTAACTGGCTCCTCGAGCGGCGACTTCTCAGATAGAAGTTTCACTCATCTTGTTAATTTGCTTTTCTTCTGAGATTCTTGAGGAGTGATGTTAGTATGAGGAGGTAAGCTCCCATTTAGATGGCATATAATCCTTCGAGATAGCCCGGTGGCTAGATCGCGAATATCCTGACCGGAAGGTCTGTATCTCGGCTTCCCCTGTTTAGGCTTGGGCAACCTGGCAGTAACCCGGCCCTCGTGCATGTTTCTGGTGGAATGGCAATTAGGCACCGAAAGGGTGCTACAGTTGAGTGACACTCCGATCACGGAAACCGCATCTCGTGATCACGTACTGACCGGTTTTGTTAGGTAGGAATTCACGCGGATCCCACTATACCGCACGTCTTTAGGCGCTGCTACGGCCGAGAAGCCTGGCCCACTCGACGTTGGCCCAGAATTCGGGACGCTTGCCGGTCCGGCATCAAGGCGAGATCTGATTGGTCACAAATCTGTACCCAACAGCCAATCCTGACCCAGTATTGGCCAAATGCCGGTTGTCAATGGCGCATCCAGAGCGCGTCAGAAATTGCAAAGTTATAACCGTTTACGTTATATATACGAAGCGCTGTACAACTGTTCCTGATTTCGTTTTGGGCGTTAATAGACCTTGTGCACCTTTGGTGTTTGTTTTGACGTGAACGCTATCTTGGGAGGCTCAGACCGAGAACTAAGCTGAGGAAAATACAGTTACTACAGTTGGCGAACGGGAACCCACGATGTCAATCGAATTTGATCAGCTCCGAGAATCATTGCAGCAGCAACAAAAGCAGTTTGAAGAAGCGCAACTGAAGCTCATTGAATCACTGACTCAGAAACTGCATATCCAGACAGCATCAGTCAGTACTGGTGAGTCTTCTGTTTCCTCAACTGATGCAGCCGC